CTGGTTATAAAAGCAAGGCACTGTCGTGGGTTTGAGGTAAGTTTTTTCTAGTGAGTTTAAGCACTATTTGCTATCTTTGAGAGATAAGATTACTGACTTGATCGGCGGAGTGCCTCCGGGTAAATGAACCCCCGCCGGATTCTCATCTTCTTGTGTAGGTTGTTGGGCTTAATCTATTTTGCTGGTGCTCTCTAGCTGAGTTCCGCAGTTGGTTGTGTGGTCAAAAATCAACACCCACAGTCCATTATTAATTTTAATATGAAATAGAATACAAAAATGATGGATTAAAACCAATCAGGTTGAGTTAGAGTTGAGTATGAAGATGTAAAGTGATAAAAGTATGAAGAGAATAGAGAACAGAAATATTGTGACTGATGGTGAATGAGTGTTCAAAATACTTTTATTTATATGCTTTTTTCAAAGTCAAGTACATTTCATCATTTTAAAAAAAGACTTAATAGCAATAAAAATATATCATTAAATTGGGGGCGTCTGACTTACTTTTTAAAGTGCAAATAGAGGCTCCCATAAAAGGAAACTTTCATCCTTCCAAAACCTTCACTTCAGATCGATCGATCGATCTCTCTCTCTCTCTCCCCGTTTTCCATATCTATATTATATATTAAGCAAAATAGAGATTTTATCCTCAAGTTTTGTGGAAGTTTCAATCTTTAAATTTTTTGATTTTTTGATTTAAAAAAAAAATCTAAGCATTTATTAATTTCTCTCAACTCCCAAGTCTTACCCTCATAATAACACTTTAATGTATTAAAAACAAGCATAAAAAAAATTCTTTGAAATCCAACACATATGAATTCCTTGAAAAGTCCCAACACATATGATTATTATCCCTCATGATAACACTTTAATGCATTAAGAACAAGTATAAAAAAAATTTCTTACAAAGTCCAACACAAATGATTATTATCAAAATATTAAACTTTAATATAATATAATTAAAAAAAAAGATATTTAATTCATTGAAAAGTCCAACACATATGATTATTACCAAAATATTAAACTTTAATATAATATAAAAAAAGAAAAAAAGAAGACATTTAAAAAAAAAATTTAAAATCACAATTCACATATATAGATAATTATAAACACAATCTATACATAGCACATGTGATATACTAGTTCTCCTTATCGGAAAACCCAAACCAACCCAGTAAACAGGCTTCAAATTCTACCCATTCATCCCAACCCTCCCAGATATTGTTTTACAACATTTAATAGGTGATATTTGTTGGATTGTTTTTCAAAAATTAAATAAACAGTGTTAAATCTCTCTGTTTTAATTAAGAAAAATTAAATTGAGATACTATATAAACTTGCTCTAAATAAGAGACCTAGAATTATGATGCGTTGTCACTTAATTGGTTGATTATATACCAAGTTTTATGGAATCATATAAAATTTAATTAATCTCATGAATTTTTTTTTTTTTTTTTTTGAGTGTGTGTGTGTAAACAATTTGTTTGTATGTGATAATCCTTGCAAAACATATCACAAATTTGATAATTAATTTACAAGTTCAAATTTTGTCGAGTTAGACTGAGTGATTGTTTGGCATGTATTAAAATAGCACATGCTATTTTAACATATTATCTTATTTAGGTCACAATTATCTTATTTAAATCACATCACCTTTTTATTATATCACTTCAAATCCAACCCATATTTACGTTTTTTCGTAAAAAATCAAAAAATATATTGATTTAATACTTCGCAAACAACCCCTAAGTGTTCCTATGGCTCCAAGAAAGACAAAAACATAAAGAAGTACTATTTTTATTTATTTATTAAAGTTAATATTTTTTTTACTTAAAATTATTATATTTCTTTCACTTTCAACCCATTTTGAAGTTTTTTTTTGTTTTTTTTTTTAATCTTAATATTCAATAATAATACCCTAAGGCACTTTTTAGTATATAACAATTTTGTTACCTCATCAAAATATATCTCAAATTTAACAAATGATTATGTCCACAACAAATATAAATAGATAAAAAAATTTTTAAAAAAAAACAATGATTACGCTATCAAAACACATCACAAATTTACAATTTTTAATAATACAAGATTAACTTCCATCACGTAAAACATATCACAAATTTATAATTTTTAATAATACAAGATTAACTTCCATCACGTAAAACACATCACAAATTTATAATTTTTAATAATACAAGATCAACTTCCATCAAGTATGCCACATCAAGTAAGTCACGATCTAAGACGAATTAAATACTATCTAAAACAAATTATTAAATGATTGCGCTCTATTCCATTTAGGAAAAGATTCTCCTTTATCTATTATATTTTTAAAATTTATAATAAAAATATCATTCATCAATTTAAATTAATAATTATTGTTTTAAAATATTACCTAAACTTGTTTGAAAAATATTAGTGCTGCTACTACTACTACATATCCACGCACTTTAGGATAATCATTATTTATTTATTTATTTAATGATTATGCTTTTGTGTGTGTGTGTGTGTGAAAATAACCATAATTATGTTAGATTATTACTGAAAACTCCATCAATTCTATTCCATTTACGGATAGATATTTTACCAATTGTATTTTTTAAATTTATCACAAAAACATCTGTCATAAATTTAAAAATTAATGATTCATCTATCAAATTTGTTTAGTCTATTTTTTTTTTTTTTTGGTCATAAAATATTGAAAGGTTCATAAGTTAAATCACAACGAAAAAGGCAGTCCTTCCATGGATTCAAATTCTGATTCACTTACAATCTCAAGGCTCCGTTTATTTTGGGAGATAGAATGAAAGATAGAATGGAACAATACCACATAAAATTATTTAAAAAATATTAAATAATTTCTCCCTTATCTAGTACTACACTACTGCATATCCACACACTCAAAACCACCCTTCATGTGATTCATATCTCTCTCTCTCAAATGGAACTCTCATCTTTCCAAAAACTTCTCTTCGTCTTCGTCATCTCTCTCTACATTTTCCACTTCTTCCTCATCCGAAAACCAAAACCAACCCAAATGACAAGCTTCAAATTCTACCCACTCGTCGGAACTTTCCCAAATTTCATCCAAAACCGCCATGACTTCCTCGACTGGTCCACCGAAGTCCTTTCCCTTTGCCCCACCAACACCACCGTCTTCCGCCGCCCCGGCAAAGTCCACGGCATCATCACTGCCAACCCCTTAAACATCGAACACATCCTCAAAACCAATTTCGATAACTACCCAAAAGGCATTCGATTCATAACTAAAGTGGGTAAAAATTAATGAAGTCTTGGTACTAGGCCCAGTACGATGCTCACTCCGAGGTTGAGCTAGGTTGGACCTCGGCTCTATAGCCAACACTTGCTCCGAAGCAAGACAATCATAGGAGTTTGGCCCAATGTACGAGTGTCACTCCAAAGTGGGCCGAGCAACATGATGGACCTCCTGGATAGGCAGCCAGCCACTCCAAAGTGGGTTGAGTAACATGTTGGACCTCCTAGTTGGACAACCACTCTGGAGTAGACCAAATTAAAGAAGGCCAATTCATTGAAGATCTTTCTTGGGCCCATAAGAGACAAACAACTCTACTCCTCTCCCTCTGTGTGAACAGAACATGGAGACGTGGAGGTGTAGAGGGACAAGGCACACACATGATAGACCTGCATCTGAATGTCAGGTGGAGTGGTCGTCCTCCTCCAATGAGAGACGACCACTAATGAGACAAGCAAGCCAGACCTGCACCTGAGTGTCAGGCGGAGTGGCCGTCCTCCTCCAATGGGAGATAACTACGAATAAGACACATTGGACAAATGGCGAAGAGAGAAGGTCTTGGAGGGCAAGCAACCTTCTCCTATAAAAGGTGAGCACTATTCACCCTCAAGGGATATGAAATCCACGCACTTAACATATATACACTCTTTGTATTTTCTCTTCTTCCTCTCCCTAAGTTCCTGACTTTACCATTGGAGGGGTTTCCGACCAATCCCCGATCGGGTAGCCTCACCGTTTGTTACTTTGTGTAGATTTTTAATTCTCAGACCACGCTGTTTATCCACGAAATTCAACCCTTCTTCATAGTGTGGAAATCACCCTCGCATAATTCGTGCCATCTGTGGGAAAACCACTGCTTGCTTCGTGACGAACTCCGGCGATGGGAATCAAAGATAAACCCCATTCTGGGCTAGCAGAGAGGACTCCAATGATGGAGAGAACCGAAGATAAGGGTCTGGCATTCCCTTCAGCGCACGATGACCCTATGAACCATGACGATCAGGAACCTAATGCAGTGGAGCGACGTCGTGTCGTTGTTGTCGAGTCATCTCAGTGTCTTTTTGTTGAGAGAGACCACTGCGATTGTATCATCGACTCAATGGGTTTGGAGATCACTGAGCTTCGTATCCAATTGATGAAGTTCATGACGAACCCCACCGAGCTAAGAAAGTCTGTTGGAGGATCGTCGCAAAGGAGACATACTCCTCCACCACCTCATAAGGAGCACTCCAACTGTGGCCCTGCTTGTAGAGAGCGTAGCCGGCTGATTCCGGTACGTAGTGAAGGGGCCAGCAGTAGGATGAATAATCTCTAAAAAAATAACCCACAAGAGAATTCTCATAAAAGGCAAAGGACTGTTAGCCGCCTATCTGAAACCTTTCATTGCCACCGCGACGAGTAACCGCACAATTTGAGGAGTTGGCTGAACGATAATGAGAGAAGGCATGATGACTACGTAGGAGAGAAGAATGTCGTCAAGATAGGGAGGAGGAACGCTGGCTCGACAGGGAAAGGGACCAGTTGGATCGGTCCATACACCAACAAGAGCGTCACGCTCTAGACTGGTTGGTGTCCACCCTATTCTTTTTCTCCAGAGATAGAAGCTGTAGAACCTCCACGAAAGTATAGCCCACCGAAATTCATTCTCTATGATGGGAAGACGGACCCTTTGACCCACATTTCCCATTACTACCAGATGATGTCCCTATAGAACTGCAATGACGCGCTCATGTGCAAAGTCTTCCCTTCTAGCCTTGGAGAACTTGGCCTCCGATGGTTTGACAAACTCCCTAGTGGTTCGATTTATGGCTGGACGCAGCTTTCTGAGGCGTTCTTAGCCCGATTTGTCTCCAACAGCAGAGTCCCAAAGCAGTGGGATACCTTGTTCAATATCCGAAAGGACAGGAAAAAGACCTTACGCCAGTACGCGCAACGATATTGGGAGGAATATGGTGACTTGGAGGAAAATGTTTGTAGTGAACAATTGGTCGTGTTGCACTTCAAGCAAGGCCTACCTCCTTCGCACAAGCTAAGGCAGTCGTTGACGAAACGACCTACCCCCACCATGAAGGATTTGAGGGCCCGAATAGAGCAACAAGCTTGTGTGGAAGCCGATGCTGCTTCGGTACATGTTGCGATAGCTGAAGAAGAAGTCAGACCGCCTCGACCACCTAGGATTGAGCAGCCAAGTAGGGATGAGCAGCGCAAGAACTATGGCCAAAAGAACTGCACTACAGTGGAAAACGAAGAGGAAAGGGCCAAGTCTTACGAAGGCATCATTACCATCTTCAAAGAGCCAATATATAGGCTCGTTGAGAAACTTAAAGGGGAAGCCTTCTTTGTCTGGCACGCTAAGATGCCTGGAGACCTTGCTCGGCACAATCAAACACTGCGTTGCACCTATCATCGAGAGAAGGGACACAAGACGCAAAATTTCAGAGCTCTCAAACAACACTTGGGGGACTTAGTTACGGCAGGCCACCTCCAACAATGGATAGACGCTGATAAGACGAGGGAAAAACAAGGACAAAACCAAGCCGCTGCTGAAGAGAATCATGCCCCAAGGTTGGTCATCAACGTTATCCATGGAATGACTGACCCCGAAAAGGAAAATTCCCTTCGAGGTGAGATCCAACGAGCCACTCACCTTCAACAAGTCATGTCAGTGGGACCTCCTCCCAAAAAGTCCAAGACAAAAACTAGGGCTTCACGGTTTAACGTTGTGTTTAACAAGAAGGACCTAGAAGGAATCCAACACCCCCACACCGACGCCCTCATCATTACAGTTGGTGTAGCCAACAAGTTTGATATGAAACGAGTCTTGATTGACCAAGGGAGCGCCGCAGACATCATGTATTATGAGGTTTTCAAGAAACTTGGTCTCAATGAGCAACACCTAACGCTTGCCACCTCTCCCTTGGTGGGCTTCAACTCGCAAACAGAATGGCACTCGGTCGGGTAACTTTGCTTGTCATAGCTAAGTCCAAGGTAGTCTCGGTTGACTTCTTGGTGGTAAACACCCCATCTCCTTACAATGCCATCCTTGGCCGACTTTGGATTCACCAAATGGAGGCAATCCCTTCCACCTATCACCACCTCGTTTGCTTCCCAACCAAGTATGGAGTAGAGGAGATTCACAGAGACCAAGTGGCGGCCAAACACTGCTTCATTGCCACCATGAAAACCAAACAAGTCTGTGACCAAGTGTAGATAGTGGAAGTACCTGACCAACCAGTTTTGGAAGACGTTAGCGGAGTGCCAACCGAGAAGATGGTAGAAGACCTAGAGACGGTCTTGGTAGAAAAAAAAACCCAGACAAGTTCTTCCTGCTCGGCGCTTCCCTCACTGTTGAAGAGAAAGAGCAATTATTAGCTCTACTCTGCAAAAATATTGAAGTGTTCGCTTGGTCGGCCTATGACACTCATGGGTTGGACCCCAATTATGCTTGTCATCGACTCAACGTCCAATTAGGAGCATGACTGGTTGTTTAGAAGAGTAGATGATCATTCGCGCAACACACCGATGCAGTGATTGAAGAGGTGGACAAACTTTTAGTTCCTGGAGTCATTCGAGAAGTGCAGTACCCGAAGTGGCTGTCCAACACCATCGTGGTAAAGAATAAGAATGGAAAGTGGAGAGTTTGCATTGATTTCACTAGCCTTAACAAAGCTTGCCCCAAGAATAGCTTCCCTCTTCCACGAATAGATCAACTTGTTGACATAATCGCTAGACATAAGCCTACAGTGGCTACCATCAGATCCCCATGTTTGGTCCTGACCAAGAGAAAAATGCTTTCATCAGCCCAAGAGGCACTTACTACTACAAAGTGATGCCCTTCGGCTTGAAAAATGCTAGTGCGACCTACCAGTGAATGGTTAACAAAATGCTTAAGGACCAGCTCGGTAAAACAATAGAAGCACACATTGATGACATGGTTGTCAAAAGCAAGTTGGCCGAGCACCATCTAAGGGACCTTGAGCAAGTGTTTGAAATTCTGAAGACTCACAAGCTTCAATTGAACACCTCAAAATGTACCTTTGGAGTAGGATCCAGGAAATTCTTGGGGTACATGGTGACTAGGCGGGGCATCGAAGCCAATCCCGACCAAATCAAAGCTCTCAAAGACCTCGAAGTGCCTAGAAAGGCTAAGAAACTCCAGGAACTTGCTGGCATGGCTGCAACACTTAACCGTTTCATTAGTCAGTCCTTTAATTGGATAAAGCCCTTCTTCCAACTTCTAAGGAAGAAAGCCAGCTTTGAATGGGGAAGCTATTGTTCTGAAGCGCTGGAAGATTTGAAGAAGTATTTGTTCTCTCCTCCCATTCTATCTACACCTATCGCCAACGAAGAGTTTTTCCTTTACTTAGCTGTTTCTGATCATGCTGTTAGTGTAGTGTTGGTCAGAGAGGATGAAAAGGGGCAAAACAAGTGTATTATGTTAGCAAGACCCTCTTAGATGCCGAAACTAGATACTTGCCATTGGAGAAATTGGCATATGCCTTATTAATTGCCTCTAGGAAGCTTGTTCACTACTTTCAAGGACATACCATCAACGTCCTTACTGAATTTCCCCTCAAGTCGGTGTTCAGTCGAGCAGATTTCTCAGGCTGAACAGCAAAGTGGGCGGTGGAGCTTGGAGAGTTTGACATCAAGTTCCAACCTTAAACGGCCATCAAAGCTCAAGTTCTGGTAGACTTTGTTGCAGAATTCACTCCGGGACCAACTGTCCCCTCCAAAGGGAGCTCGGCCTTGGTCACTATGACTGCAAAGCACAAAGGGCAATCCCAAACTGAAGCATGAAAGCTTTTTATCAGAGACGTATGGAAGTTGTTTGTGGATGGTTCTTCCAACCAAAAAGGCTCAGGGGCAGGAATTGTCCTTATTTCTCCTGAAGGATTCATGTGGGAACAGGCCATCCGATTGCGCTGGAAAGCTTCTAATAATGAAGTAGAGTATGAAGCTTTACTAGCAGGCCTGCGAAGTGTCGAATACTTCAACGCGGAGGAGCTACTCGTCTTTAGTGATTCCCAATTAGTGGTCAACTAACTCTCTGGAGTTTACGAGGCTCGTGATGAGCAGATGGCCTCTTATGCAAAACAGGCCAAAAATTTGATCAGAAAGTTCCAAGTCATCAGAGTTGAGAAGATTGGTCAAGAGGTAAATAGTCACGTTGATGCCTTAGCTTGCCTGGGTTTCTCGGTCGACTCCAGAGACGGCCGCAAAATATGGGTGGAATATATACCCCAACCAAGTATTCAACTAGTCGAAATGGTCCTCTGCACTAACTTGGGCCCAAGTTGGATGGACCCACGCTTGGCCTTCTTGAAGAATGGCACCCTTTCTAGGGACAAAAAAGAAGCGCACAAGATAAGGCACAAAGTTGCTCGATTTTGGGTCTCACCATCTGGCAAGCTTTGCAAGAAGTCCTACATGGGCCCGTATCTACTCTGTGTTCATCCAAGTCTGGTGGAGAATGTGCTTTACGAGATCCATGATGGAATCTGTGGGAGCCACACTGGTGGTCGGTCCTTGGCACACCGAGCCCTGACACATGGATATTGGTGGCCACGTATGCAAAAGGAGGCCCAACAGTATGTCCGCAAGTGCGACAAGAGCCATATTCCCTCATTCACCAGCCAGCCAAAGCTCTAACCCCCCTCACCAGTCCTTGGCTATTCACTCAGTGGGGCTTAGACATTGTTGGACCATTGGCTAGGGGAACTGGGAATAAAAGGTTTTTCATCGCTGCAACTGACTACTTCACCAAGTGGGTAGAGGTGGAGGCCTTGTGCAAGATCAAAGAAGCAGACACTAAGAGGTTTGTTTGGCGTAATGTTGTGACTCGATTTGGCATTCCCAGAGTCCTTCTTTTTGACAATGGCACCCAATTTGATGGCAAGATCTTCAGAAGATTTTGCACTGACTTGAAGATAGAGTTCCGAAACTCCACTTCGGCCTACCCACAGGGTAATGGCCAAGCTGAGGCGTCTAACAAGACGATCATCGATGGGATAAAAAAGGGTCTTGAAAAAGCCAAGGGCAAATGGGTGGAAGAGATACTGAATGTCCTCTGGGCCTACCAAACTACTCATCGTTGGTCGACCGGTGAGACACCTTACTTTCTTATCTATGGGATAGAAGCAGTCATCCCTTTGGAGGTTGGCCTTCCTACCATCCGTTTTGAGATCTTTGAGCCAGTAGACAATGATGAAGCCATTGCCCAAGCTCTGGACATGGCCAAAGAGCGTAGGGAAGCTGCCCTCGTTCGATTGGTGGCTTACCAGCAATAGCTCACTAAGAGCTTCAACAAGAATGTGAATCCAAGACAATTCCTACCATGTGACTTGGTACTCAGGAAGGTGATAGATCACAAGAAAGTTCCTGGAGAAGGGAAACTCGGTGCTAACTGGGAAGGGCCCTACAAGGTTACTTCAGTACTTGGCAATGGCACATACTATCTAGCCGGCTTAGCAGGGAAGGCAATTCCTAGACCATGGAACATTGCCAACCTAAGGAAGTACTTCTAGTGATGTAATTCTCAGAATGAAGTACTTTCAATAATGTATTTCTCAAAACATGCCTTGATGTAATCAAAAGTTCTAAGTATTTATGAATGGAAATTTGTTTCACAATTTGTCTTTATTTACTTGTGTTGTACATTTGCGCTCGGTGAAGCAAATTGGCAACGGGTCTTAACTCAAGCCAAGCCTGGATGCTCAACCCTTTGGTTGGAGCGGGATGCCAAGTGGTATAACTTGGTGGAATTTGTGCCAAGTATCGTTACTTGGAGCATGGTCCATATTCACAATTTGTTCTTAAAGAAGGGCCAAATTAAACTCTACGATGGGTTAAACCACGCCAAAACTTGACCAAGTTAGGTGGCAGCCGAACAACATGATAGAAAACTTTCACAATTTTTTCTCTCCCAAGGCATGAAGCATGGTCTGACCGAATAGACAGCCTTTTGAGCCACAGAGCTCATGCTCGGATGGGGGCATCAAGAACTCACTCAATTTTTTCAAAGGCAAGAAGCCTGGTTAAACCGAACATATGACTTGTTAAGCCACAAAGCCTCTGCTCAGCTGGGGGCAAACATTGTATACAAGCAAAAATTGAAGATCAGCAGTTCAACACTTGCAAAAATGTAAGAACAAGTGCATTGAAATGAAACTTCAATTACAAAAAAGAGTTCGGCCTTACAAAAGAAGAGGTCTAGTCGACTGAACTCCAAAATGAATAAAAATAGTGCGAGTCGCAAATTCAACACTTGGGAAATTTAGAAGGTACTTCATTACAAAAGGGAGCTCGGTTTGTATGATAGCTTATCTGATCGAGCACTAGAGCAAAAGTTGAAGATACTTCATTAACTTCCAAGTTTCAATACAAAAGAACTACTAAACTAGAAAAACAAAAACTCAAGGCGACCTAACAACTTACTCCTTGCGCTGCTTCTCCTCGCAATGTCCCTCATCGCGATGCTTCTCATCTATAGGATCGACAGTCCGCCTAACTAAGGAAGAGCCCGGCAGGAGAGAAGAAAGGTCAGAAGGATCAACATTCGTAGCTTCAGCCCCCCGAGGCCTACACCTTCTAACTCTTGCTGCGGTCTTTGAAGGGATTGGGATATCGTCAATATCATAAAGAGGAGAAGCCTCTTCCACTATAGCAGCGTACAGAGCCCCACTCCAACCCTTAGTAAAGATCTTGTCCCTTAGCTTCAAAATCTCCTCCGAGTAGGTCTTTTCGGCCTCGTCATAGCCCCTCTGTTTGGCCTTGTCCACCATCCCTTGACAATTAGCCTCCAAAGGCTTCAAAGCAGCATCGGCATCTGCTGCCCTCTGTTCGGCCATGAACATCAATGCTTCGGCCTTCTTCTTTGCATCTTTTATCTCTTTTAGATCCTCTCTGGTCGCCTTCAAGGACATATCAGCATCAGCCAAGATGTTGATCGTCTTAACCCTC